GGGGGGGTGCTCTTGAGGGGGAAGACTTAATTCTGCAAAAAAAAAAAAAAGCAATAAATGGAGAGGTATGCGACATTTGGTTAAACTGTTTGATAAATAGGCCAGCTTGCAAATTGAGACGCTAGGGGGCTTAGTTACAATAACATTTCTGCGTCGAATTATTGTCATTATTTCATTTTAATAATTCAATTTGTGGCTGACTGCTTATCCGGGGATCGCCAGATCGGTCTACTCTGGAAGACGATCAGCAAACCCTGAAAGACGATCAGCAAAGTGGACAAACCTGCGGCTCGGAATTATGATCAGCACCTACTCAATTAAACCTGCGGCTCGAATTGATACCCTTGGCCCACAACTTACACCAGATCATCGAATCGATCTTCACTTGAAGCCTTTTACTCTCGAATTGATACCCGCGCACCGGACCAGATCATCGAATCGATCTTCACTCGAGCCGCAGGTTTGTCCACTTTGCCACAAGATGATCAATTCGAGCCGATGATCAGCAAAGTTATGGGCTCGGAATGACGATCAGCACCCACAGGAGAAACACACACACACACACACACACACACACACACACACACACACACACACACAAAGAAAAAAAAAAAAAGAAAAAAAAACGATAAAAACTCCATGCCACAGTAACCTGGCCCCATGCCCTTATAGCAGCGAAAAGCCCATAACTTACACCAGATCATCGAATCGATCTTCGCTTGAATCCTTTTACTTAAGTTGATCGGAAATTAATTGAAAAGATCAAATTTGGGAAAAGACCGGATTTCGTTCCATTTATCTCAAATTTGATCAGCTTTTCAAACGATTCTGTTTTTGTTTTTCGTTTTGTTTTGACTACCACTATATTCTTCACTCAAATTCTTTCATCTTTCACAACCTATAAGCATACCAAGAATTACCCGTTTGTGTCCATGATCCGATCGCAAGAATCGAACACGCGACCTCCCTCATAGCAGTTGCACGCTGACTGGGTTGAAAGTCGAGCCCCAAGATTGGTACTTAACCCCACCCCAGCACGGTTTCCCGCGTCCCGGTGTACCCAGCCACACTCACACCTGACCCGACCACATAGGCCTGTCGACGCAGCCACCAGTCAATATATATAAATATATACTCACTGCCGGTTACTGCGCTAATCAAGAATTGCATTTTGTCGTCCATGATCCCATCTCTAGAATCGAACACGCGACCTCCGTCATGGGAGTTGCACGCTCAACCAAACAGCTAAGCATACCGAGAGAATATTCATCTCTCCTCAAACACAAAATTCGAAAAATTATAAATAATAAATGTAATAAAGAATCAAAGATAATAATGAGAATTAAATACTAATAGTCTAATACTAATAATAAGATATATATTTATATGTTAAATCATAAAGACACTACGAAATCGATTGCGGTGCGCGGGGGGATGACTACCGCCTTCCCCCAAAGGCACAGCGCAGCCCGACGATGAATGTATACCGACGATCTTTCCGGTCCGGTACAGTGAGGATGAGCATGCGCACTGTGTTTGGAGTAGACGGCAGGGGTTTTGACCCCACACACAAACAGCCGTCTTTTCCCCAAAGGATGCTTGCCGCAAAACCCCTCCCGTGTAAGGGCATATCCCCTCATTCCCCCCTTCATATCTATTCTAATCGTCATTTCTAATATCGCCGCCTTTGCTGACGTGTCACATTGGTGTTGCTGCTACAGCTGTATCAACAGAATCTTTTTTTTTTTTTTTTTTCCGAGAAGTCGACTGAATCTTCATGCATTGCCAATGCAGATCAACCGTTAATTTTGCGCGCCACATGGAGAACGCCTATGCTGCTGATGATGCCGCGCTGCTAATCCGCGATCGATCCGTTGATTGCCAAAGCAAACGGTCGTCGGGATCGCGGAAGCGAATCGTTGGGTGCGGATCACACATATCATCAGATAACAAGACGAGAATCCGACGGTTAGGATCAAGATCTGGCAGCTGCTAGGAGTGGAGGCTTGGAGTATCCCGACGCTGCGCTGATGATGACGCCGCGCTGCTAATCCTCGATCCGTCGATCCATCGATCTTCATATCAAAAGGTCGGGATCGGGGAAGCGAATCGCTGGGTGCGGATCACACATACCATCATCAGATAACAAGACGAAAATCCGACGGTTAAGATCGAGATCTGGCAGCTGCTACTGGAGTGGGTGCACTTATCACCACACCTAGCACTCTCAGCAGGTGTCAAAAAAAAAAAAAAAAAAAAAAGAGAGAGGGAGAGAGAGATCAAGATCTGGCAATTAGAACGGATCCAAAAGCTACCGTCTTTCCCCGAACACAACACACCCTGATCATGACCGTATCGGACAGGAAAAGTAGCCTGTATACATTCATGATCCGGGTGCGTTGTGTTCGGGGGAAGACGGAAATGTGAACCAACCTCCCACCCAATTACCCCCCCCTCCCTCTCTCCCCTCGACTGAAAAAAGCAAAATAGGAACTTTACTACATCATCTGTTCCCGCCAAAAAACTTAGAAAAGACAGAGATTTGCCATGTCTCGAACGGACGTGGGCATCCATACTGTACATACAGGTCACACAACCTTCTACATCTCACCATCCTCCACCTATAGAACTTGATACAAGTATATACACATACAAACGCATGCGCTCATCATTCTCCACATCCCTCTTGTTGCTCCTCATCGAAATCCATAATCCTTCCAATTACCATCTTCCTCCCCAATCATCCTCCTCCTCCTCAGCTTCCGCCGCAATCTCCTCAACGTACTTCATCATCATCACCATTATACTCATCAATCATCATCATCACCATCATCACCATCATCACCATCATCATCAGCAGCAGCATCAGCATCATCAGCATCATCATTCCTCTTCATCCTTATTACGATCCTCACCATCACCCTCATATTTCTCTTCCAACTACTACTCCAGCTGCTGCTCATCATCATCATCATCATCATCATCAGCAGCAGCAGCAGCAGCAGCAGCAGCAGCAGCAGCAGCAGCGGCGGCAGCAGCAGCGCCGTCCGCGCATTGTCACAGCACTGTCACCATCATCAACATCATCAACATCATCAAAAGCACAATCAGCTTTATCATCAGTACCGTCGTATTCGTCATCGTTATCACAATTTTTAACTTTATTTTTTATTTTTTTCAAGTCCAGGTTGTTGTAGAGGCGAGCCACCATCGTCATCATATGACAGTCCCTTCGGCAGTTTGTGGCCAATTGATCATCACCATTCTTAAAATTGTCATAGTCATTCTCCCGTTATCCTCTGCCGCTCCGTCTCGCTCACCATCTCCTCCTCTTCCTGCTGCTTACCATCACCTTCATCAGCAGCGGCAGCCGCAGTACCAGCAGCAGTAGCAGCATCACCCTGAACTTCCTCATCTTTCCTACCGCTCTCATCGTCATCATCATCATCATCATCGCGATCATCATTATCCTTATCCTCATCGCCAATATCCCCGAGGACTAATCTTCAACGCCTGCCACAGCTTATCCGAGTTTGATTGATGGGTCCACCTTCAAACAAACCCGCAGCGAAGAAGAGCACTCCCTCTCACGTGGCTGCTCCCCGAAAATAGATCGCTGCACCTCTAGACTAACCACAGAAGAGACTCGGCAATTGAACCCAGGCCACCTGAAGTTGTTTCCTCAAAAAAAAAAAAAAAAAAAAAAAAAA